ACAGTTGATTCGTTGGAGTATCATATGGTACAGGAGAAAAGTAAAAGCCTGTAGTTTTTTTATTTGAAGAGATAAAAATTTGAAATTTACAAGAGTTATATTATCGATGATGGCGCTCCCCTCGAACCCAATTACAATTTTTTTCAACCACCTGATTGAATGGAAGTAGACCCACCTTTTTTTAATGGCACCCTGTATATTTCTGTAGCCTATCTTATTCGCCTTAAAATTCTCTATTCAAAAATGTATCAGAATTTGTTATTCGTTCATATTGGCTGTTTAATTGCATTTTATTGAAATACATGAAGTTGGCTGTGGCCCGAATACAATGGCATTTCGATGCTCGATAGGCATAGAAATTCAAAGATCATTACGATATTATCAGAAAATTTTCCATTCCCTACTTTGTTCCAGAAGATTGCCAATAACTTCATTGAGTTTGAAAAAATCATCCGAAAATAATTCATGATATTGAGAAAACTATGATAGAAACTCAGTTATTTTTCATTTGGCTACTTGTGAAGAAAATATTTGCTTTCTATTTCTGCCATGTAGCCATAATATGATCATCTATCAAGCATCGAAATGTCATTGTATTCGGGTCACATCCAACTTCCTGTATTTAAATAAAATGCTATTTAACAGCCAATTGATAAACGAATATCAAATTGTCATACATAGTTGAATAGAGAATTTTGAGGCGAATAAGATAGGCTACAGAAATAAACAGGGTGCCATTTGGAAAAAAAAAGTTGGGTCTACTTACAATCGAACAGGTGGTTGAAGAAAATGGTCATTGGGTTCAAGGGAAGCGCCATCATCGATAATATTACTCTTGTGAATTTCAAATTTTAATTTAGGTAGGTTCTCTAAAATGGGGAGAATCACAAGGATAAATTGAATAAAAATTCATTATATGGTGAGTATTTCGTGTTGTATTTGTAATACGAAGTGATTTCCAAAAAAAGAGGGAGATATGTACAAGTTAATGGGTTCAAAGAAGAAATATTGGCAGAGGAGTCCTACCTACGATTTTTGATGAATCCAGACTGGAATATATCCCACAGTAAATGTCAAAACTGCCTAAGAATGGATGGGAGATGTTTCAGATTTGTATCAATGCATATATGAGCGTGAATGTATACCTGTAGAAATGTGGTGAGATCATAACAAAGTCTCTAGTCAACCAAGCATGAATTTGGGATTGGATCAAGACAAAAATATTCCATTAATTATTCGAAATGGTCTTCAGTCCATTCACCAGGACAGATATTTTTGACGTATTGATAATATCAATGATAGTATCTCTTGTTGATTCCTAAAATATAATCGAACATCCTAACCTTATTGTTTGATCCAACATGACAAATATTCAGAACAAGTTCTAAATTTCAGCTGCTGTTTGACGTGACGTCACTGATGACATCACAGATCTGTAGTTTGATCAAATTGTTGGACCGTGAGACACAGCCTTATGGGAATATAATGCCGACTTTTGTTCGGGTAGGCTACGCTTAGTCGGCGATCTTAGGACTGCTGGCTGGAGACTGCCCTGCACTAATGAGAGTCGAAGAGCTCAAAACCGGTCTGTAGATGTCTAGCGTGGCCTGTCTAAATCGAAATTGATAGGCATTCAGAAGAGAATCACTTGTATCATTATTCGTTTATACGAGTCGATGCATAGATATCGGGAGGATGTAATTTAATGTTCTGCGTGGCATTAGCCAGGAAAGTAGCTGTTTTTCTCCCGAAATATATAGCTTTTTGTATTTATTTAACATTTCATTCCACTTTGAGCATTGTGGCTATCTCGTAGTTGGAATTATCTCACTCTGATTCTGTGATTTTTAATTTTAAAATTGCCTATTTAGTGGTAGTTGTTGTTCAATAATTTATGTAACCGCGAAGTCGAATAAAAGATAAATGGATTTGCAGTTCTTTCTTGGAGACGGTGTTATTGGCTTATGTTTTGGAACTATATAGCATCACAAAAGCCAATAACAGTGTATATATGTGATATATATCCGGGAAAAAATTGCCCACTTTTTTCCCGTGAGAAAAAGTCATTTATGGAAAGTGACATTTCATAACCTAACAGTGATGAAATTCCCAACTTTCTCCTTGTCACAGAAAAATAGTGTATTATACACGGGGAATATATTAGATTTCAGTACATGGTTTTTTGTCTCCATCCGCTACGCCTAGGGAGACCACACCACCTGGGGCTGAAATCTACTACTTTCTTCTCTTGTATAATAAATATCCATTTTTCCCTTTTATACCTTTTTCCCTTAGAGATCCTTTTTTTCATTTTTTTATCCTCGATCTCCACGCTAAGGGCCTTCTAACCCATCAACTGGAGCATGCGTTGCCATGGATATATTAAAAAAAAACTATAATCGTTTGTCAAATGTTTCATGCAACCGGCCTTAATGCTTTCAATTTTATTATCTTCCAAATAATTTCTGATTGGTTTCAGGATATTTGCTTGAAAATTCATCTATCACAGTGGAATGATCCAATACAATTCACTTAACTTGAAGGTGATTAATAGGATTAAAAAATTCAAAAAGAGATTCAAGAAACATCTACTATCGTAATATTAATATCTTATCTCATTTTTATAGTTTTTTTTTTCGTAAAATAACTATAGTTTCTATTAAATATCTAACGGGTGAGTCAATAATTAAGAATCATTTTCAAATTAACTTGAAAAAAAAATGTCTTCTTGAGTGTGAGTCTCATTTAACTGTCTTCTTCATTTTGTTGCATATATTTATATACTCACCATGTTCCCTGATATAAACAAATGTTGTTTCTTATGAATAAAGTTGATTGATTGATTGATTGATTGAAACTTGCCACTCATAACTACTGACGTCACGACTCCGTGCATTGTCGTTCTAAATGTAAACCCAGTTAGTAGGCGGAAGGTACAGTATTGTCTGTACAGGTTGTCCCATTTTCGATGTCCTTACAGGATATCTCACTAATTTTTTCTGCAACCGGCAAAAAAGTCGTCCATTTTGATTCCAAAAGCAGCTCTCGAATTGATGTTTCTATCACTGACACAAAGCTAGGTATGTTGCTAGGCTACACTTTTAGTTCCAGAACTTTGATAGTGTCGGTCTCGAGAAAACGAGTGTATAAATAGAGTTGTGACACCTGATAGTAGTGGAGTGCTATTAATATTCAATGTAAAACAAGTATTCACGAGATTCACGAAGTGGGCGATATCTAGGTTACATAATACGAACTTCAAACTGGGGGAAAACAAACTGGTGTCTATGGATAAAGTGCATAGACTTCATTGCATACATCTTGCTGTAGCTGTAGTATACAAGCTAATGGCACTAATAGGATTGAGTAAGGATTAATAATAATAATAATAATAATAATGGCTTTTATTGATAGGAAAATGAATAAATACAGACCCTATCAAAAGGCAGGATTCAATAGACGAACTAGAAATCCAGGAAATCTTCCATCCAACCTCTACATACAAGAACTATAATTTAATAACAATATACCGGGTGTCCCATTTTAATCTTTATTTGGAAATTTCTCGAAATGTATGCATCTGACAAAAAAATTGACGAATAAAAGTTGTATGGTTTGGAGGGGGACGTCTGGTTATGAAACAAGTTTCACCCCCTGACCCCCAGGGGAGTAAGAAATGGAGATAACATTGAAATCTTCAATGGAAACCCCTAATTTTTATTGCAGATTCTGGAAGAACATTAAAAACTATGAAGCTTTTATTCGGGAACTTCTTTTTTATTTTCACAAGATGGCGCTGTGATCGTAAAAAACTATATTTCATTATTTACACATTTCAACCCCCTGAAGACGAGGATGAGTGTAGGGTGTGATATTTTCCCAGACAAACGCCATTGGGGTGATATTCACACGACAAATTAACGCTAAACGAACTTACTCACCTTGACACCTCTACATAGAAAAGAGAAAAATAAGCATGGTTCAGCAATTAAGGTATCATTTAGGTCAGACTAAAGCTGGTTTTAAGTGAGATTGACTACTTTATCAAGTGTTCGAAATGACCTCAATTTTCTTGAATACACAAGTTCACTCGTTTTTCAAAATTCCGCACTGTCGCTTCCAACATAGCAGGCGTTTAAGCCATGCACGCTCCTCTAATTCTATCTTTCATATTCTCGCGTGTGGTTGGGGGTTCGCGAAACACACACACACGCAGAAAGAAGTCTGGGGAAGTCAAGTCGGGTGATCTGGGTGGCCAACTACAAACTAAATAGTAAAATATTGTTTTTCAAGATCACAGCGCCATCTTGTGAAAATAAAAAAGAAGTTCCCGAATAAAAGCTTCATAGTTTTTAATGCTCTTCCAGAATCAGCAATAAAAAATAGGGGTTTCCATTAAAGATTTCAATGTTACCTCCATTTCCCACTCCCCTGGGGGTCAGGGGGTGAAACTTGTTTTATAACCAGACGTCCCCCTCCAAACCATACAACTTTTATACGGCAATTTTTTTTGTCAGATGCATACATTTCAAGAAATTTCCAAATAAAGATTAAAATGGGACACCCGGTATATATCGGTAACATCAGGAATATTGTAACATCATGAATTCAAACGTTTTGGAAATAATAGAATGAGGCATGATATACATAATCAAACACAAAAAAATTAAAAAGACAAACAGAAAATAAACAAGGAGCAAGGTGTGTAGTGGGGCTGTCCATTATGGAAATTTATGAAGCGTAATTCAAAATTTGTGGTAATTTGTTGTTCAGTAGATCAGATTTTAATTTATATTTTATTACTTTTTTTGACATTCCTTTATAAGAGATCGGGATCCGTTTATAAAGCCATTGAAGATTGAGTTTGTTTTCCCCCAGTTTTGACGTGGCTTTGACATGGAACGATGAAAACCGAGCGCCACCTGGTAACATTGATTCCCGCGAATATTTTACTTATTGCATTGAATAAATGATGATAATAACGCACCACGGCTTTCCAGGAGCTGCCCGAGAGCACGAAAATCAGCGAGCTGTCCTTCAAGACGATCCGCACGGCCGACATGCAACCGTTGGGCAGCGCACCGCCCAGGCCTTCCAGCCGCCATAAAAGACATGTAGAGGCTGTGCCCGCCCACAAACCGACCACGGCCGACAGGAAGACCAGGAAGCGACGGACGTTCGAGAGGGTGGGGCCCACCGGGGTGAGTACGCGAGACATGGGCGGGTGTTCGGCTCTGACCAGGTTTACCCTGGGACATCGCGTGATTCAACGGATTTGCACATTCCATGCATACATGACCACGTGCTGCCCCAAAGTTAACCTGGTCGGACTCTACTAAAGGGTGATCCATTTAGAGCTTTAGGATTTTGCAATGAACTCAATATAAACACCTGGACGGGAGACGGGCGTTCTCTCGAATAGCACAAAGTTTGTCAGGGGCATCTGCAACAATAGTAGATTGTTTTATTTGGATCAAAAGTGACACTTTGTTTGACAAGCGAATTTTGCATTTGCGAGGCGGAGCGTTTAGCGAAGCCGAGTCGAACAAAGTCACTTTTGATCCGAATGAAACATGCTATTTTTTCTGCAACCGAAACAATTAACTCAAATAAATATGTGAAGTTACCACCACCAATATGTATGCAATGCAACAAATATTGACAAATAATCCGTGTAGTGGGAACATTCTACCTGCATCAACAGCAGGTTCATTCAATTTTCAAGGATGTTCGAATTGTAGTTCCAATATAAATACAATCACAGAGTGACATATTTGTGTATGGACCAGGTGCTCTAATGGCAAATACCGCGCCAGTGCCAGCTATTGGAACAAGACGTGGAAAATGTTAGGTTAGTGAGCATATCAACAATAATATTAGCGATTATTTATTCCTCTCCATACTACAGTTACTACACTGTGTTTAACTTGATAATCAAATGAAGCTAAACAATATTGTTGTTTGAGACAAAAAAACTATTGCTCACCGTGAATATTCAAAAACAAGTAATCCATACAGAGAATAACGAATGAAATACAGATCAAGCAAGTATTTGAATCTTGAAGGCTTCCCTGATCAAAACAAGAATACTCAACTGAGATGTTTATAATTCCAATACTTAACTATAATAAGGTTTATTTATATCTCCAGCATGGGTATGAAATGCCAAATCTGCCGAAATCGGAAACAAATCGGGTATGCGTCTCAACCCAAATAACCAACCGTCACAATGTTGTTTATTCTTGATGAAGCCCAGTACATCCTTTTTAGTTCCTAGGAGCTAAAGTTCAACTTTTGCTCCTAGGAACTAAAGTTCAACTTCAGCTCCTAGGAACTAATTGTTGCCTAGCAACATACCTATTTCTGTGTCAGTAATAGAAACGTCAATTCAAGAGCTGATTTTGGTATCAAAATGGACGACTTTTGTGTCGGTTGCAGAAAAAGATAGATTGTTTTACGGTAACCTGTCTCTTTCCTACTCGTGTTGTTCAATAGTGGATCGGTGTTTACGTTTTCTTCTATCTGATAATTAAAGTAATTTTGATTTTTCTCTCTAATCGAAACAGGCAAGAAATTGAAGACATAAGTTCATTGCCTTTGGTTATGTGAAATATATGAATATTTATATTTAATCACGTTTACTCTTGAATGAAAGTTGAAACCGAGAAAATATTTCAAGTAATGCGAGCGCTCCCCATTAGCCAACATAAGATAGAAAGAGATAGGTATCCGTAAACACTGCGGGTTGCCTGATCAATTTTTTTGCCTTACTCGTCGTTCACAGATGCTCCCTTCCATGTGTTTATATTGAGTTCATTGGGATTTTGAATGGTTATTTGGTAATACTGTTAGTGTGAACATAATTATCTCTAGACAGTTTTGTAAGATAAGTTCTCAGAGTAACTGGTTGAAAAGAGTGATTTATTGCTAATGTCTTCATTGGAAAAGGCATTATATTTATTCCAAGGGCATCTGTGGATCTGCTGCCTAATCGATAATTCAAGAGGATTTTTTGCATGCAACATCGTTTTCATTTTAGGATGAATAACATAATGACAAAACAATTTAATGAATTCAATAACACAATAATCCGCCCATGTGTTAGAAACTCAATAGTTATTATGAGGTGCATTACAAAATAAAAATAATGATTATTTGAAGATGAACGTGGCGGCACCCTAAAGTTTCTTAGAAGACGAGCAATAAATGTTGTATGACATGTCATTTGTCATTTTTGTTACTATCAATGGTTCTCCGGCTATTGTGTGATCAGTTTTCGGTGTTTCAGTAACTCCTTCCGTATTTTGAATCTGAAAACAGACTATTTTGTGAATATGTTTTGTTTGGCAGTGCCAAATCTGTAAAGAAAGACAGTGTTGGAGATAATGAAAATTTGTCTGTAAAACGTCATTCACAGCAACTGGACCTCAAGTATAGATGAACTAGGAAGATTTCCCTGCACGATTTGTGTACCTGAACAAAATTCAACTTGTGCAAGTACTAACGCCTAATGGTCATCGTTATTTTTAACACTCAACCAGCTGACATTTTCTTGTGCTAAAGCACTAAATGGATCACCTTTTAACTTTTCGACTTTGAATTGATGATAATCGATAGGCTACTCTGAGCGCTGCATTTGACATATTGTATATACAATTTTTACGATTATGTCGAAACTAAAGTTTCTAGAAGTTCTGACATTGAATGCCTTTTATAGGATGAGGACAAATTTCCTGGATATGATTTTCTAAATTAGTTCTAACTCATGGATAACTCCTGATTTGAAAAGGATAATTGTCAATTTGAAGTAGAAAATGCATAGACTAAAGAGTCGTACGTACGTGATATACCTATATTCCTTTCCAGTATCCTCATCCCTTTCCTTGTTCCAGATGTTATCTCTATTTTTCCACGCACTAATCGAGACTGGAGTAGTGACAATATTTCTATTCATACTGGACATTCTGATCAATTCAGAACACTATGGGTATCAAAATTATATATTTAGTTCATAAAAGTGCGATTAAAGTATCTTTATTGATCGTTTAGTTCGTTTTTCTTGGGTAATGACACTTGCATCTAAATATTGAAGTGTGGAAATTCAGATGGTCATAAGACATTGAAAATATGTCGAATTTTGAAGAGTTTCAGACATGTTTTTAATGCCAAATGTCATCGAAGTGTCATGTGGAACTGCAAATCTAAGAAAAAAGCCCATATATTCAATAATCTTGAAGAAAATGCTTTGTTTTGTGAGGGCATCGTGAATCCCGATATAGAATTTATCACATTTATAGATAATGGGCGTATATCACAAAAAAATTATTTCATAATTCGATAGAACTCACCCAAACTAGCTCACCACCGCAAACCGTTTCTTGCTGTGAGCTCCCTACGTTTTATAAAAAATTATTGAAATCCCCGATTTTTCGGACATCTGAAAACCCTATTACTGAAATAATACATGATTTCTGAAAGAGTGAATTAGCGCGAGATCACAGTTGAAAGAATCAATATATCAGTTGCCTCAGTCTCCGTCGGGCTTTTGGTATTTTCTTTTAACTATGGTGAGATGAGGTTTCTACGTCATAAGAGGGTCCGTTTTCAGAAGGTACTATTATTTATGTCCAAAAATAAAACATTCCAGTTAATTTTTTGATCGAATTATGTCGTCAATCATTATTTATATATAAAAGGATCATTATAAACATGGTTTGAGTTAAAAGTTCTACTAAGGTGTACACGCCCATTTGACTGTGTGATACTAGTATCAATTATTTCCCGTCTGTTTGCATTGATTGATAGATATATTTTTCTTGTTTATGATCTTAAGGATTGAAATAATAAAGAGAGGATATGTTCATTAAGTGAAAAGAAACAGAAAGTACGTGATTTAGATGTCGACGGGACGTAAGTATTACGTTATTGTCTGAGTTCCAGCTACGTTGGCAAACCATGATATGTACTCCTCATTTGTTCCCCATTTTGGTTGTAACGTAATGATAGCCTGATCGAATGGTGTTCCATAGTGCTTGTTTCGTAACTTGAATCCGGAGAAAAAAAATTCCACTAAAATTCCTACGTTCCTATGGTGATTTGTCATAAAAACCTAATTTAACTGTATAAAAATCCTGTCTATAGATTAATCGAGGAGGTGGTATTTATTATTCCAGATTTTTTGGGATTTTCTCCTCTTTTCTATAAAATAAAAATATGAATATTATTTCAATATAGGTGTAGTAAGGACAAATCAGATGATTTACTCCAAAATGTCACTGCGTTCAAAGAATTTCTCTATCAATTCAATTCAATTCAATTCAATTTTTTATTGATCCATTAAAACGAGCTTAAAAAGCAATTGGACAAGTCAGTACATATCAAATACAGATATAAAATACAAGTATATAACAAACACATTCGTAAATTATTAAATTAAAACAATCAAGTGAGCGAACAAAGCAGCAACGATGAAAAATAATACAAAACATTTTTACTAATGTAGGTGGGAAAAAAACTCTTCGATTGTATAGGGGCTAATTTCAAGAAGTAGTTGTTTTATTTTATGTTTGAATACTTGTTCCTTGGTTATGATTTTGAAAAACTCCGGAAGTGCATTGTATAATCTCAGCCCCAAAATCTCAAACGAGTTCAGACGTAGAGATAAACGTGTTTTGGGTATGTGAAAATCATTTCTGATACGTGTGTTATATTCATGAAAAGATTGGTTTTGTTTAAAAACTTCTTTATTTTTATGGATGTACAACAAAACTTCCAGAATGTAGAGACCTGGTAGAGGCAAAATGTTGAATTTTTTAAATAGTGTTCTACACGATGATGTTTGTGACGCGTTTGCAATGGTTCTGATAATTCTCTTTTGCGTTACAAAAACATTGTGTGCAGGTGGAGAATTTCCCCAAACAATAATCCCATAGTTAATTCTTGATTGTATCTGCCCGTGGTAATATAAAAGTAGACCAGATTTGTCTAGAATTCTTTTCAGGTTTCTTAGCAGATAACACTGCTTATTGAGTATTTTAATGAGATTATCGCAGTGCTGACGGAAATTGAGATTGCTGTCTAGATAAAGCCCTAAAAATTTTATACTGTCAACTCTTTCTATCTCAACATCGGATATTTCAATATTAAAGTCCACCGTGTTGGTATTTTGGGCAGTATGGAAAGCTACTGCTTTCGTTTTGGA